GCAATGGACTGGTAGAGTGACATACTCAACAATTAAACAACCCTCAGCTTTTTATGTGGAATTTTCTTAATTATTTTGCTCTTTATAAATGATGCCTATTTCCTCATAGGTAGTTAGAGAAAAAATATAAAGTGAAAACTATCCTTTGGCTATAACTATATATTATAGCTATTTAAAAATAGCATTTATCTTGAAAGGTTACCAGGCTTATTTCCTAAAGATAGAATGCAGTCTAGTGTGTGAAATTCTTTGTTCCTCTATGCTTTCCCTACTCCTCCAACAAGTAAAAAGTGAATATACGTTTTTAGAGGGCAGTGGTCACCTTTTCTCTTTTTTCATACTACTCTTCCCTTCATTGTATAAAGGGATATATGATGTTGATTGTATAGTTGACTGTTGGTTGTGATATGCAAGTATAGTAATATTATGATCACTGACATTTAAAAAGAAATCTGTCTCAGTTTGCCATTTTATGATAGCATTTTAAAGCCATTCAATCTGCAAACAAGTTGCTTAGTCATTCAACAAGTATTCACTGAGTACTTAGTATTGTATCAGGCACTATGCTAGGTACTGGAATTACAATATAGAGAAGACAGACATTTTACTAACTTTACAAGTAGGGAAAGACCATTTAAAAAGAATTACCTGATGTTTATTGTTCTTGCTTCTAAACTAAAAAGCATCGCCATTAGATGCTTAATAAATACTTAGTGAAAAGAGTAATGGTAGTGATTAGATAAACATCACCTAAAGGAAATGACTTAGGAAAGCTTGTGACAATTTCTGAGAGAATAATGAGACAAGAGAATGGATGATTCTGATGAGCAAATATAACTCTTCATCTGTGTGACAAAAATATTTTTTGTAGTGTATGTATGGCAACAACAACCATGCTCTGTGGCGTCTTGGGGCTTGTAGCTTTTCTTGCAGGAACTTGGAACCATGTCAGGCTGCCTTTCTGAACTCTGGCCTTGCTCCTCACGGGAGCCATTGCGCTGGCTCTGAGCGGCAGCGGCACCATATCATTCAGAAGTGAGAAAATCTCGTACTCTAGTGAAGCTTGGAGGAATAGTGAGTATCCTTTGGGCTTTGTGATGATGATTGCAGTTAATGGAACAAACAGAAGAATAAAAGGTAGCATTGTGGGTATACCCAGTAATTTCTCCAACTCCTGGGATGTCAGCAGATCTATTGCAAGTTTTGCAGTTAGCATGTTAGTTTTAAGGGTGACTTCTCACTGGAGAAGGTGACGAGGAGGAGCTTAGGGAGAGGGATCTTGCTGGAAGGAGCCATGAAAACTGTCACTGAGTCTGAAATCTTTTTATTTTTATTTTTTAAATCATTTAAAAAATTTAAATCATTTTTAGTTGCATGACTTTCAGCAAGTGTTTTAAACTTCCTTAGGCTTCTTTCCGTCTGTGTAAATGGAAATACTAATACCAATCTTAAAAAGCTTTTTGTAGGACTAATGAGTTAAGGACTTGGAAAAAGCCTTGCATAGTGAGTGACCTGATGCTCAATACATCACTTGAGTTAAGGTGGGTAGGATTTTCTGGGCCATCATGATTTTCCGAAATGCTTTTGAGTATATAGTTGTCCAGCTAACATTTAGTGAGCACTTTAAAAAAAAAAAAAATATATATATATATATTGATTTAGAGAGGAAGGGAGAGGGAGAGAGAGAGAGAAACATCAGTGATGAGAGAGAATCATTGATCAGCTGCCTCCTGCACGCCCCCCACTGGGGATCTAGCCCAAAATTCAGTCATGTGCCCTTGACCAGAATAGAACTCAGAACCCTTCAGTCTGCAGACCAATGCTCTCTTGACCCAAATTGGCTAGGCTAGTGAGCACTTCTGAGAGTTTTATTGGTGTGACTTGTTTAATCCTCAGTAACCATGTGAGATACTTTATTGTCCTTTCATAAATGAGAACTCTGTGGTTGAGCTAGTTAAATGACAGAGTCCAAATTTGTCTCTGGAGTTCTTTCCTAATTCTAATTCTAGATGGTAAAGTTACTCTGTCCACATTAGGGTAGAAGGAAAATGTTATAACCTCTGCATATTAAAAAGATAGGCTTATTTTAATTTAATTATCTTTGATTTGTCAGTAGTTACTTTCAATTTTGATTTATTCTGATATACAAAGTAAAGTTATAATGATTTCCAAGTCAACCTTTTTTTCCCCTAAATTAATCAGTCTTTTCTCATTTGTTGTTTTCTCCTATTCTATTGTGCTTTTGTATGAGTCCCTGAAATTGGGTGTGTTGGTTGTGTAGACTACAAAGGCTACACAGGGGAAATGAAATGGCCTTAAAGAGAGGATTAAGCAAGTCAGGAGCCATGCGTAGCCATCTAACTCTTCAACAATAAGCATCATGGTCTTTATGATTGATTTTTTATAAAACCCTCAGTATTCCACTGACACTGTGCTAAATTAATGGTTTTCCTTACAAGTCTTAGATTATTATTTCTTCTGCTTTTCTTCTGATTTGACAGGAAAGTTGGGACATTTTCTCAGGTGTATTGACATCTGCTTATACCTGAGTAAATGTACTTTGGGTTCTTTCTGTGATAACAGTTTTTTGAAGAAAATAGATACATGAAAAAAGGACATATGTTTTGATTTCCATAATAATTTCTTTGTTAAAATGTTCTAAATAGAATCAAAACTATTTTAGAATTTTGGGTGGTTTGTAGGGTAGAAACTCCCCTACTCCCTATTCCTATATGTTTTATTTACGCTTTGGTTCAGTGCATAGACTTCCTTCTTATATAAAATAATGAATGTTAATGAGAAAGATAATGTGATGGAAAGATCCACAAATGACTTCCCTTTTGCTTCAGAAACACAGGGATCCCTCTTATTATTACTGATTTATTTTTATGGTAATAATAATTATTAGTAACTAGAGGCCTGGTGCATGAAATTTGTGCACTCAGGGAAGGGGTGGTCCCTCAGCCCAGCCTGCACCCTCTTGCAGTCCAGGAGCCCTCGGGGAATGTCTGACTGCGGCTTAGGCCCAGGGGGAGCAGGCCTAAGCTGGCAGTTGGATAGCCTTAGCACTGCCGTGGAGACAGGAGAGGCTCCTGCCATGGTCGCTGCGCTTGTGAGCCATGGTCCTGGCTTCTGGCTGAGCGGCACTTCCCCTGTGGGAGCGCACTGACCACCAGGGTGCAGTTCCTGCGTTGAGAGTCTGCCTCCTGGTGGTCAGTGTGCTCATAGCGACTGGTTGTTTCACTGGTCGATTTGCATATTAGCCTTTTATTATATAGGATAATGATAAAAATAACTACTGCATGTCAAGAATGGCTTATGTACCTAATGTAATCATTATAGTTACCCAAAGAAGTCGGTATTATTATCATTTAATAGTTTAAAGAAATGAAGCTTAATTATCTTGGATAAATCTCTAGTCAGATAGCTAGGAAATGATAGAGCTAAAATTTGGACCCAGGGCTGCCACCTTCTCACTCATATTTCCAACTTTGCTACTATATCTCCATTTAAAAACTTGTTCTTCAATCTCTTCTAAGTAAAACAGTTTTTTAAAGGAGATAGAAGTTACATTTTTTAATAATACATGCCTGTGAGGCCGAGTTAAAGAGCTGTCACCAAATCTCAGTGCGGTTTTACTAGAGGAAGAAATGATTACATGGTTTCTTTTTTCTGTCCAGTGTAAATATTTCTTCTTTCTGCCTGTCTGGATGTACCTTGGTTTATCCCACAGACACTGCTGGTCAGGCCCTTACTGAGCAACAAGCAGCAGAACTTTCTCTGTTGTTCACAAAACAGTCACACATATTGACTTTGTGTATTTGCCATAAAACATGACTATAGATACTTTTGTTTTCCTATTTCTTCCATTTCCTTTCAGAGATGCTTTACAATAAAAACAGCGATGGCCCCGTCGAACCAGCTTGAGTTTGCATGGCCCTGCGCACTGTCAGGACTGCTCCTGCCCTGAGGGAATGAGGAGTCCATTGTCCTCAAAGACATTATGTTAAAGCCCTTCACTATGAACTTTCAGTCAAGATGCTAGACTTACCAGTTAGTTACACAGAAACTATTCTGTCCAGGCTGGAATGTGGCAGTTAAAACAGGAGAACTTTGATCCCCAAGATAAAGTGCACTGTTGCCATTCTACCAGTTTTTATTTGTAGGTGATTTTTCTCCATTTAATCTAAATTCCTTAAACTTATGTCTAGTGAATGGTGAGAAGACATAAATCAATGAGTATTTGGTTAAAAAAAACCCACATCCTTTAACAGCCAATGCAGCTCATTCTCCTAGTCAAGAATCACAGTGATAGTTATGTCAGTTAGTTTTCTTCTAGAGTATGTGCCGAACTTTAAACTCTGGGTATTGCTATCTTGAGATCTTTCCCTTGATATTTATGTGGTCAGTTATTTAATCTTTTAACCATGTCAGAATTGTTTGAGCCAGCTCTATGATAGCAGTAACAATAACAAGTCACAACAGCTGATATTTGTTAAGCACTTATTGTATGCCAGGTACTGTGCTGTTAAGTGCTTCACATAGCGTATGTCATTTAATCCTCACAACTACCTGATATGGGAGCCATTACAGTAGTTTCCAGGTTTATACAGCAGGGGATAAGAGGAGTAGCAGGGATTTGAACCCATGTATTCACCTGACTGCCTGGGGCAACTCACCCCCACTTTCAGGAACCTGTTTACTGATATGTAAAAGAAAAGAAAGCAAACGCTTTTGCATTCCTGGTGTCAGCTTATTATTAACATCAAATAAGAAAAGCTAGCCACACTTTTAAGAAATATGCAAATATATGAGATTATTTTAATGGCATTAACTCATTCTAAAGATCATATTTATATATTGCAATTTTTAATGAATAATCTCATAAAATAAATCACATCCTATATAATAAAGATCTAATATGCTAATTAGACCAAACAGCTGAACGACCTTCTGGACGTCCTTCCAGACTACCTTCTGGACGAAGTCGGTGCTGCGAGGGGCTGCGAGGGCCAGCTGAGGCTGTGAGGGGCTGTGAGGGCTGGCTGAGGCATCCAGGGCTGTGAGGTCCGAGCTGCTTGCACGAATTTTGTGCATCGGGCCTCTAGTCTGTAAATATAAAAGCCTAAGTGACCATTATGACCGAACAACCGGAACAACCAGAATGACTGGTCGACTAGTCGCTATGGCACACACTGACCACCAGGGGCAGATGCTCAACACAGGAGCTGCCCCCTGGTGGTCAGTGCACTCCCACAGCTAACCTCCCAAGGCCAGCCAACCTCCCTCAGTCCCTCCCCCCTGGCCGGCAAACCTCCCGCGGTCCTCCACCCCCCCTCCTCCCCCCCCCCCCCCCCCCCCCGTCCCTCTGGCCCTGTCTAGCAGCCAGCAGGCCCCATCTGGCAGCCAGCAGGCCCGCAGGTCCCGGCCGGCAGCCCCCAGGCCCTGACTGGCCCAGCCCCAATCGGGGCTGGGTGAGACGGTTCTGATAGGCCCTAATCGCCAGCCAGGCCTAGGGACACCATCCGTCCATGAATTTTGTGCACCGGGCCTCTAGTCATATATAAGTTGGATCCTTTAAAGTGGACCACCACATATAACATCATTGCAATTTTCACATTTATATTGTTGCTGATTGTACAAATCATCTGTATTTAGAGGAAAAGTCATTGAAACAATACTGCATTTTATTCCAGAGTATCATGCTTAAGTAATTTGTTAAATATTTATTGCCCTCTTGATGCTCTTTGGTACCAGTTTGGTGGGGAGGGGAAGACTAGTATTTATCAAAAGAAAAAATGGAAGTAATAGTTCAGTCTATAGCCAGTAAAATGAGGTAAGTAGTTGAATAATTATTGAAATATGTCATCAGGGTAAGATGGTTTAAGCCAGGGGTCCTCAAACTACGGCCGCGAGCCACATGCAAATACAAATATTGTATTTGTTCCCGTTTTGTTTTTTTACTTCAAAATAAGATATGTGCAGTGTGCAGAGGAATTTGTTCATAGTTTTTTTAAAAACTATAGTCCGGCCCTCCAACAGTCTGAGGGACAGTGAACTGGCCCCCTGTTTAAAAAGTTTGAGGACCCCTGGTTTAAACATTTAAAAATTACTCTCCTGCCCTAGCCAGTTTGGCTCAGTGGATAGAGCATCAGCCCTTGGACTGAAGGGTCCCAGGTTCAATTCTGGCTGAGGGCACATACCTTAGTTGGAGGCTTGATCCCTGGTCCTGGTTGGGGAGGCAACCAATGTATATGTCTCTCTCACAGTGATGTTTCTTTCTCTCTATCTTTCCCCATCCTTTCTACTGTCTCTAAAAAATAATGGAAAAATATCCTCAGGTGAGGATAAAAAAAAAATAAGATAAAGAAATAAAATTAGTCTCCAAACAATGCAACTTAAACCGAACTTGTACAGTAGCAGAAGTTTTGATATTGAATCAGATTTCCTGAGTTCTGCTTTTCCCCTGAGTAGATATACAGATGTAAAATAGAATATTTTTAGAATGAACACTTAGCACAAAATGTTTTTTCTAAAATCTACATTTGGCTTTTTAAAGATAAGATTTTTTTAAAAGTACAGATATTTGACCATGCAGTCTATACCTTGGGGTATTTATGAATATATACTTTAGCAGCTTTTATGTTCACTTAATTCATTTTCCTAAAAAAGACAGGTGTGGGGAGTTTGTGTGCATGCGTGTGTGTGCATCTGAACGTGTGAAAATGCAGCTTAGGGATTACAACAGTTTAGTCAAGGTCATAAGTGACCTGACGTGCCCTTGAGCATGCTGTTTATAATTGCTGTGGTTAGTTTTCCTTCTCACTGTTTTTACCTATAATGTCAAAACACAATTATATGGAGTTGGTATGTTCACTAATAGCAGTTTATCTCTGCATGGTTTATAGACAGAGTCAAAAGCCAACAACTATAATTACATCCATGTTTCTAACTTAGCAGTGAGCTGGAAAAGTGTGGTTGAAGTATGCTGTGGGTAGAGTGCAGCCAGTAGGAATTATAGGGTAAAGTCATTGCTTTGCATTCTTTTGGTTTTACAATAATTGTTACTTAAATTTTGTTTTCTGGATTTTACCACTGTCTGTTGTGTTTATATGACCACATAAAGAGTGGTTGAGTTACGTGTCTCCCACTCTATTTTTCTTCTGCTTGCCTTCCTCTATAAATGTATTCGTTCTCCTTTCACTTTCTTTGGACTCAGCAGACAGTACATTACAGTTAATAGTTTTCTGAAGCAGCCTGATATTCATGCTCTATGGAACCCAGAAGATTTCTACTATTTGCATTATATATTTAATTGGATAATTATGGGAACCATGTTGAACTGTTAACAACTGTCACGCCTGTGATTAATCTTTTAAAAAAAAAATATTTGTATTGGTTTCAGAGAGGAAGGGAGAGGGAGAAGGAGATATAAACATCAATGATGAGAGAGAATCATTGATTGGCTGCCTCCTGTACGCCCCCCACTGGGGATCCAGCCTGCCACCTGGGCATGTGCCCTGACTGGGAATCAGCCATGACCTCCTGGTTCATAGGTCTGTGCTCAACCACTGAGCCAACCTGGCCGAACTGATTAATCTTTTGAATGTTCATTGGCATGGTTCAAGTCAGCAACCACAATACAGATTTTTTTTTTTTTTGTTATTGCTGTTTTGTTTTCATTGCTTTGTTACAATTATTTGAAAGTAAAAAATGATTTTTATAGAAAAATATATGTAATTTTCCATTTTGGCTCACCTTACATTTTGTGGCAAAAAGAAATAATGCACTCTATGGGTCACTATAGGTGTTTTGCATATGAAATATTACAGTTTAATAATTGCCAGAAAAATTATAAAAAAGCCTTCTTATATTTTTAACAATCTTAATGATATAAAATAGAAAAGAGAATCTTTACTTTTGAAATAGTATCAATTTGAACCCATAGTTTGGAAGAGGTAATTGAAAGATATTTTGTATTGAATGATGGAACTAGAGATGAATTATATAGAAAATAACTCTTTCATCTGTGTGTGTTCACTTCATATAGGTCTTATGTGAAATGAAATGAACATGGGGATTAGTATAGCAGGAATTCTGTTGAAATATACATAACTTTCAGGGCACCCTTATAATTTTTTGTCTGTTTTACTTGTATATAAGTATGCTTGTGCAACTATATAATGTTTTCTTTCCATTTAGTAATCTGTAGATGTTTATGCTTTTTGGACTAACAATGTACACTTTTTTTGGTCCTTATATTTTGGTATTGGATGGAGAAAACAGGTCAGGTGCATAGTGGAAAAGTTAGAATGAAAGGTGAATATTTGCAAACAAATCTTAAAAGTTTACATGAATGTCACAAAGACTTAACAGGGACTAGAGTCTATATTTGACTAATCTTTATTTTTTAAATATATGCTGCACATGCCTTTTATTAGAATGTTTACTGAGAAATATCTGTCCTCTTTCTGTGTCAGACATTTCACAGTAGGACGAGGGATAGCTCTATATCCTTGAGATTCGGGCTTTCAAATATTATTTGGTTACACAAATGACACTTAAATAGTTTCTCAGTGTAAAAGCTAAAATAAATAAAGCTAAAATTCCTCCTGGTCTATTTCTGCTCCTCCTTGGAGGAAACCACTGCTATCCGTTGTGTCTGTAACCCTTCTCAGGCCTTCTCCTATATCTCAGGAAGTATTTTTTCTCTCTTGCTGTTTATTGAGGAGAGCATTTCATTGTTCACAAAAGAGATACATCCTCCAAGGAACCACAGACACCTCCTATGTTCCCACTCCAAACTGACTTCTTGGTCTCAACTTTCCCAACACTGGTGCAGGAATGGGATTCTTTATGAACTGGCTACAGGAGGAGACTAGCCAATGATTTGCCTCATTCCTTTAAGGCAGATTATAAATTGAAAACAGGAGAATAGATCTTGTGGGAAAGACTATTTCACATTCAGTTGGGGGTGCAAGGGTAGGGAAGATTGAAGTATTGGAATTGGTTAGACTAGGTCTTACTGAGGAGGCAACATCCAAGTAAGCAGGGCCCCAGCTGGTGTGGCTCACTTGGTTAGGTGTTGTGCTGTGCACAGAAAGGTTGCTGGTTCAATTCCAAGTTAGGGCACATGCCTGGGTTGTGGGCTGGATACCGGCAGGAGTCAGCCAATCGATGTTTTGCTCTCACATTGATGCTTCTCTATCTCTCTCTCCTTTCTTTTCTCTCTCTCTCAAAGAAAAAAAAAAGTAAAAATATAAATAAATAAATATATATATAAAAGACGTAAATGAGGCCAGTGAATCGGAACTCTTTTAAACACTTGAATGCGTGAGTATATGTATGGCAGGCTTATTCAACTATTCACATATTCAGCTATTCCCTATATTAAGCCTATGAGGCAAGCTCTTTTATTATCTCCTTTTTACATGTGAGGAAATTGAGAAACAGGAAGGTTAAATAATCTGTCCAGCATCACAAAACCAGTAAGTGGTGGAATCTGGTTTGGGACATAAACAATTATGTAAAAGCATTATTTTAGGTCAGCTCTTAAACTGATTTAGCGGAGCTAATCCAGGCTAGGACTAACATCTAGCAGACTTTGTACCATACTAGGTACGAGGGACCCAGATTAATTTCTCTTCCTGGGAAACATAATGCTGGATTCTACCTGTCATTTCCAGAGTGTGTGATCTTGAAGTACCATCTTGGATCAAGTGAGTAGGGTTGGAATGGGCATTTCAGCTGCCAGTGCAGCAATCCTGCTACTTATGTTGAAAGTGTATTTTGGCGCTTTAATCAAATGCAGGAAAAATGCGGGGGAAGGAGGATTGTTTTAGATAAGGAATATGCAAAAGGAATCCAAACACCGTCTTACCTCTTGAATTCGCATTATTTTTTTAACAACGTTGTTTACACTTGGGACCTTTTGGTAACTGTACTTTCCATTGCGGTTCTAGATGGCCTCTTCAGCCAGCTCCTAATAGGATAGCAAACTGGAGAGGAAGAGTGTGGAAGGAGTGTGTGGAAGGAGCAGATGCAGGCTGGAAGCTGTCCATGTTGTAGCCCATAAATATTCATCCCGGAAAATTTCTTAGGTGCATTGAGTTGTAGATGAGCAACTCACATCAAACTAAATTTATGTTTTGTTTGCTGAAGTAAGTTATTTCAATCCGCACTGCCTCAAAACTCTTTCCTTGAAGTGTCCTTGGACCGGCCTTTTCAGAGGGGACAGCCTGATCACCGGCAGCCTCAGCCTCCCCTTACTTGGGTTTTAATCTTAGCACTGGAGTCGTGAGTAACATGTTTGTGTGAGAGATAATGAGAAGGGGGAACAACATTAACATTGAAAATAGGATTCACGGTTTTCAGGCACGCTATACTTTTTTCGTCATGGTGACCGGTAGACGTCATATTCTGCTGTTATCTTAGGCGAAGTAGGGGCTGTGATAGGAAGACCTGGCCTCCATTCTTGGCTCTATTATCAGTTACTGAGATTTAAGCTTCAGTTCCACCACTCATAAAATACTATTAGTATTGACAGTTACTCCAGAGGATAAATTTCCATAATGTTTGTGAAAGGGCTTTGTAGGCTGTAAGTTCTCCTTCTCTCTCCCTCTTCTTCTCCTTCTGCTCTCCACCTTTCTCTCCCTCTGTACATACATTCATATAGATGTGCACGTGTATGTAAATGTATATAGATGTATATATTTATTTTTCTCTGCATACTTCTGCCAGAAAATGCAAGGAACCAATCCATGGTTAGCTTCATGCCCTGACTGGTGATATTTTTCTCTCCGTCCCAGTTTTTCACTTTCTTTAGAGCCAGTCGCCATTTATAAATCATACGGGAGTGAAAGGTCTGCACTGTCCACTAACCAGTTCGAACATTTCACCTCAGTCAAGCACCCCCCAGGGTCCCGCTCACTTTTGTTTTTCACGTTTTGTTCGCTAACTCCCCAAACCTCAGCAGTCTAGGGCTGTGCGCGTCCAGAAGCTCACATCTTTCCTTTCTGCAACTAGAGGGGCTTCTCTGGCCCTCCTTCCCTCTCGTTGGTTGATTCTATAGATGTTTCAGACCATTGGGCTGTCCAGTTCTGGAGGTCCAACATAAGGCTTCCATGGAACACATGTATCTTGTCAGCAGTGTTATGACAAATAGCGGCAGTTGTATAAACTAGTCTTTCTGTAGCTTCACACTGGAGACTCCATTAACAATGGACCACTGTCAGCATTTAATCTCTTTTACCTCTTGGTTCCTGTGCAATTTTCTATTGGGCATCGGGATTATTTTTACCCACCAACCAAAGAAAGTGTCAAATACTGCATGTCAATTACACTTCCCTTGGTGTTCTCTAAAGGATGTGGAGGAGGACTGGCGATGATAATGATGACTTTATTGATCCTGATTAGAAAGACATGCTGGTTTCCAGGATGGTTGAGACAGAATTTGGGATTACCTTGGCTTTGGAACTGTTTCTGAATTTAGCACAAGGTTCATGGTTTTAGGAAGCTGGCCTCTGAAGTTAAGAGTGATGCTGGTATGAGGCAAGGGAGCAAGACCACAGCTTCTCCCAGAAACAGCCACAGGAGACAGACACATCTTTGCGTGCACTTTGTCATGTAGAAGTTTATGCATGCTAATTTCAAAACATGGGAGACACAGAAATCTCAAGTGACCTTTTATCTCTTTAGATAATTTCTGTCTTTGATTCTTTGTCGGAAAAGAAGAGGGCACACTGGATGTTCAAATGCACCGAGGAAGTTGGGAAAGCAGAGTTGTAGCCTTAGAATAACAATGAACAAAAGTCCAGGTTCCAGGGTAAATGTACTTGACATTTGAACCCCTTGTTTGAAGCCTTTGCGTTAGTTCTATCTGCAGAGGACATCTGAAATTCCTTTGGCTTCTGGTCTATGGCAAGTGAACAAGAATGGATGACAAAGGAATATAAAGATAGCGCTCAAACAAGTTGTTGTTAATTCTTTCTTTCACCTACGAGGACTAATGAAAAGCTTGAATTACTAAATTCAGACTAGACCATTGTTGCTACTTGCCAAACAGTACATGCTTGTGCATCTGTCTAATCCATATTTGAAAGCCACAAACAGAAGCACATAATTTGGCAAAACACCAAAAACATGCCTCGGCACACTTCTGGAGATTCTTCCAAATGACTTATTGATTCAAAAATTTTAGCGTGTGTGTGTGTGTGTGTGTGTGTGTGTGTGTGCGCGCACACACACACACACACACACACGCCCATATGCATATGTGTGCGCACATGCAGCCATCTATATTGCCTGGAGACGGTTAAAGTAAATTCTGCCAGCAGACCATGTGCATTACATTTGTTTTGGGGGTTTGAGGACTTTCCTTCTAATTTCTCAGTAAAAAAATAAAACTGTTCATTGGGCAGTTACTTTCTCTTTTATTTTCAAGGTAAGTACAAACATGATACTTAACAAAAAAGCCTCCCCGAAACACAACATATAAAGCAGTTTATCCTTTAGGAAGGTTAAAATATCCTACTTGCTTTTTCGAAAAAACGTGTTTTGAGATTTTTTTTCCCCCAAGTGGATTACACATAGTAACTTATTACAAGAAAACATTCTTCATAGCACCATAAAGAAATTTCCTAAGTGGATAAATTATTCTTTCCTAAGCTTTTTACAACAGTATTTTTCACTGGTGAGTTTTCGACCTGATATGGAAAAGTTGCACTTTTTAAAAACACGTGACCTGAATTCAATCTAGGGTACTTGAATTTATTTATGAAATTATATTAACAACAATGTGGAAGACAAACAGGCTATAAGAGATCTTTGGTGTGGTCCACTTTCCCTTTATGAATATTATTTTTAAAAGTCAGGTGCTTGTATATGTAGTATTCAGTGTAAACATCCCATATTCCTTTGACAAGGCATTTATTATTGTTCCTAATTTGAAGATGAGGAAGTCAGCGATTAAGTCAGCTGCCCAAGGTAACACAGATAGCAAGTGGCAAAGGCAGGATCCATCCCAAACCTGTGGACACTGCTGTGGATAATGCTGTGGACACTGTACCTTCCAGCCCTCTCTGAGGAAGGAAAATATTACAGATCCACCCTTTTCAGTCAGTCATCTCCCCTCCATTCCTTTAATTGCAAGCCATACTGCTTTAAAGGTAATTGCATGTTGATTATGTTAATGCATTTTCTTATTAATGGGCTTAAATTATATTTTATAATTGTAAATTACTTAGCACGTTTGTCTTTTGTTCATAGTATCTTATTTAATATTTATCTCAATTAGATGAGATAGATCATTGTTCCCATTTTACAGCTGAGAGCCATTAAGTAATTCACCCAACAGGGAGTTGAGAGCCAGGGCTCCCCCAGCTGTTTTTATGTGTGTTTTTTTCGTTGTTTTTTTTTTTCCCCCATTGCATTATAAATGCCTCAAATTCACAAAAAAATCCATGCTTGGCTCTCTACCTCATATTCCAGAATTGAATGTGGTAAACCTAGAACTTTTAGCCTTAATTTAAAAATGGATCTGCAGTACCTCACCATGTACTTCCGCTTCTCACTTCTCACATGGCAGGTGCGAATTGATCCTTGGTTGAGCTGTAGTTTGCGTTTGAGAGATTCTTCATTTTGGGCTGAGAGTGAGAAGCTCTTGTATTCCTTCTTCCAAGTTTCAAGGAAGTTTGCAGTATGCTGGTGGGATGTGACCATGAACAACTTTTAGTCTTTTGGTTTCATTAGGCATAATAGGACGAGGTAGATTAAGAGGACCGATTTCATGAAAATGTAAAAAACAAGGAAAGGGATGGGGAAAGGAAGGGAAGAAGGCGTCTGTGGGGAGTGATGTGCGAAGGGCCCGGTGATGTAGTGTCTTTCCCCTCCTACCGCAGGCTTAATTTTGCATCGTTTCCTTAGCATGCAGTGCAGGTTGGCATGACACTCGTGGCCCTTCAGGTAAATATGCGCAATGAGGAAATTAAGAGGCTCAAGACTTAAGCCCCCGTGTGAATAAGGCTTTCACTTCTGTGCACATTCCTTATTCTTCAAGGTGAATGGATGACTCAGGAGGTAATAATCATGATAGTCTTCCTGGCCTGGCAGGGATTTTGTGGGTTTTTGTTGTCTGTTTGTTCACTGTGGCTCCCTGTGCTTTTTTCTCTCTCGCTGTTTACTCCAGCTGCACTGATATCCCTTGATTATTTCAATGACTATAACTTTGAGATTGACAATTGCCAAAGCCCCCAAACGCTTATAAAGTCAGGTGTGTTCAGGTAAAATGTTGGTTGATAAAAAGAGACGTCAACATGATGTAACCAGAAAGGCAATGAACTCTGGATCACTCATTTAAACTGGTGACACAAACAGAGGATTCGCAGAGTTCGGTGCCCACAGAGAGGTGATCTAGGTCCACTGCGTGTAACCCTCATGTCAGAAGGATCAGCAGCAAGGCCCGCCATTGGGAACTGAGGCCTATGGATAGATTGAAGCATGGACAAATTAAGATAATAAAGATACATTTTAGTGATGGTTCATCCCCCAGATTCTGTCATAGATATTGTCAGGTTAATGGTCTGGGACAGTGGATTGGACTTTCTCGGGAAATAAATCAACTCACAAACAGAGCTGCACTCTCTTATTTGTTGCCCAACAGTGTTTCCAAGAGTTGAACTGCCTTGGTAACAGTTGATTTGACTTTCTCAAGAAATAAGTTACTTTAGCTAAAAAGCAAACTGGTAACTTCACCATCTCTTGTCTGGTGCTGAAATGGTGTTTCCAAAAGATTATTTTCCGTCAGCGTGCTATCAGTATAGAGTAGGCCCCATTTTTTAACAAAAAGATCCCTCTTTATTTTGTGAATTTTAGCCTCTTTAGACTTAATTCTTGTGCCTCATATTCAAGACTCGCTCTGGAGAAACGTGATCCCAGGAATGCTGGCGATTTGCTCTTTTAAAATGGTGCTATGCTTTAGGTTTCTGTTCAAATCTAAGATTTCAGGAGAGTCAGTAACTGCAAATAATCTAAAAGGGGAAGAGTGAAGAATGCTTCTAACTTTCCTTTGAAATGAATAGCTTTGCCAGAGCAGCAGCTATTAGGAAAACAAAACACGACAAAGAAAAGCTGCTCCGCTCAGCACACAGAGGTAAATTTACTTACATCAGACTGAAAAATGAGGGCTGGGCTTTGAAAAGACATCCCTTCTGACTAGAGGAAAGCTTGTAATTTTGGCATGGCTGCAGCCCTCCTAAGCCCCTGAGAAATCCTGAAAAACATTACAGAAAACTGTTCTTAATATTAATGGATGTCTTCCGTGTGTGTGTGTGTGTGTGTGTGTGTGTGTGTGTGTGTGTGTGTAAGAAGAATGCCAGAGAGAGAAGGGGGAGAGAATGAGAGAAGAAGAAGAAGAAAGGATTGGCCAAGATGAAGAACTACCAGGGACAATGTCAATTTTCTGAAAAATAATTTGCATCTGTCGTTTTTGAACCCTCAACTAATAGAGTATTTGTCAAGATGAAATTTTGAGGAATGCATGCCATGCAGACCCTTTCAGTTAGCCTTGCGATATCGTGGTCCTCTGAACAAGCAAGCTCCTCCTAGGAGACTTTATTGGCCGATGTCAAGGCTCACTCTGATGATCTCAAATCATGGTCTTATCTGTTATATGACATCAGAGGTGAAAAAAGACTATGCGTTTCCCTGCGGCTCATTGTGGTGAGCGCCATATTATGTTGGAATATAGTGACCAGTTTCAGGGGCACCAAAAGCAGGCAGCTCTGCCTCTTGGGAGGGGACTTTTCCTTTGCAGCTCAGCTCAGGAAACGTGAACGTTTGTGTTTTCAAGACCACATACCACTGGGAAGGAAGCAGGGGTGGAGATGCGTGCTGAGATTAAGTGGGTCTGAGAATCTCTGTACTGTGCACGTTCTGGGAACCCCTGAACTGTACGGAGCCCTCTTTCTGGCCTGCCTTTAGAATTTTCAAACTCAGGCTGCCAGCAACACGGATCCTTGCTAAGGATATATTCCCCCCCCCCCCCCCCACACACACACACAAAATAATGTACTGACGTCTCAGTTTGGGCAGGTGGACTTCGGTACAGCGTGCCAGACCAGCATGGCTCTGTCTTGTGTACGCACGGGTCCCAGGAGACACGCGGGTCTGCTGCAGAGTCATCCACAGTCGTACTTCTTCAGGGAGACATGACTGTTCCCGAGCACGGTGAGGGAATTTAATCATTGTGGGAACCTGTTGTTAAAAAGCAACTTGAAGGTTGTTTCCAGGAAGGAGGCATTAACTCCTCCCAGCCCTGAGCCGGTCAGCCCAGGCCCTGGCCCGCACGGCCTTCAAAGACGCAAGGCCTGTCCAGTTCGACCTGTGGAGGGCTGTGCAGATCATACACAGAGAAGCCGAGTTCCTTTGCAGGATTGATGACGTGGGGAAACCAGAAAAGTCACCCATTTGAAAAAGAGTGCCTTGGCTTGCGGCGGAGCTGGTAACTGGGAGCATGTTTTCCCAGACTAGTGTAGGCTCTGCAGCATTGTTGGCTAGTTAATGAGTGATCTCCCCGGCCTGCGCTGGCTGGGCCTGTTTCCTTGACTTGGGCCTGACGCTCTCAGTATAATCTTAATTCATGTCTAGTCCAGGCTGACTAAATCTTCTGGGTTGGCAAAGCGGAGTGTCAGGATTGCCATTGTTCTGTTTGCTCTGGATTTATATCTTCAGTTGAGGTTAAGTCACACATTTACATAAATCAACTCAGCACTAGACTCTGATACAAAATTGTTTAACAGGGAGAGAGAGAGAGAGAAAAAAAACCCACACCTAATTGCATTGCTTCCTGAGATTTGCTTTCATTTTATGTTAAACCTCAAAGGAATTATAAATTTAACAGGTTCTGTGTTACAATGAACTCTTCTGTGGGTTGTGCTTCTGTAAAACAGAAAAAACAAACCCACACCATAATTTTATTTGCAAGAACTGGTTATAGCTGTTGCTGCAAAGGGATGACCTTCCTGGAGGGAGAATGCAAAATGTAGCTGGCTGATGGCATTTAACAAAACATTTCATATGCTTTTAAAGAAAGAGTTGTGTTTTCTGATTGGGAGCAGAAGGGTTCCAAAAATAATAAAAAAGTTCCTTCAATAATAAAGATATTGCAGAAAGGTGAGGGGGCTTTACATTTATAGTTGTCAATATTTAAGAGATTTAAAAAATAATAGTGATTCATTGTGATTCATGCAAATATCTTTACAATTTATTTCTTTTCATATAGTGGCAATGAAAAATGTCATGGCGATATTTTGGATGGTTCACCATCGATTAATTTATGATCTATTTAAAATCATTTTACTTTTATTAACATTTACATGTGTCTATTTCTATCTCACTTTCAAAAAAAATCTAAAGTTTTAGAAAAAGATGCTTTAAAATAGATGTTATCGTTGCAAATGCCATAAATATGTGGAAAGAATAAGAGATTATTAGCTATTGCAAGTTTATTGGAAACATGTAATGAAAACTTGCTACTTCCAATACAATGAAATACTAGCAAGACAGCAATGACTGTGTAATATAATGTTGAACGTCTGACTTTTAAATGTAATTATTTTATGGCTAGCTAATGAAATTTGCCTCTTAACAAACTAGCCTGCTGCACTCATAAAGCTAGGAAATGCTACTTAACTTCATGACAAGTTTTTGTTGCCATGAGTGTGTTTTCTTACTGGAGTTATTATTATCGCGCAGGTATTCCTTTGTGCGTCGGGGGAAGGGTCCTCTGTCCTGGGTCTTTGTGAGTACACGTAGGATGGGCCCCATGACATGGGTTACGTTCACTATGGGCAGCACAGTTTCCTCTGCAGGGTGGCTTTGTGTGGCTTTTTAGTTTGTTTAAAGAAGTAATTACTGACTCTTGAAGTGTTTTCCTTGAGGTTCCGGATCCCCTCACTCTATCTCATTTTGCTTCGTTTAACAACAGCGCGGCCGTCCGGTCACTCCCCATTCTTGTCCGTTTGCTGGGAAAGATCGGATCCCTATTTTCTGACTCTGAAAGGTGGGAGCATGTGTTTCGTCCAGCTGAGTCTCTTGCTCTGATTTTTTTTTTTCTGGTCCTAATACATGTTTATTCCTACATGTGACAAATCTGCAGTCGTGTTTTCTTTCTGAGTTATAATGACTCAGATGTCATAATTAATTTGATGAGCAGGTGGGGTTATTAGCCTTGTGCTTCACTTGCTAATAGCTGCACAGTTTTTCTAAAGTACTCTTTCAACTAAGGAGGCATTTCTTCACATAGAATAAACAGTATAGCACAAAAGCCTCAGTTAGATAACTATCCGTGGGCTTGAAAAGCTGCCAAGCAGATGTTGTTATTGGAGCTGGCCCAGGCGAGATTGGGCAAGGCAGATGCTCGCAGGGAGGGGAGAGGGGAGGAGAAGGGGGAGGAGATGGAAGAGAGCAGAGGTTGGGGGGAGAGAGGGAGGTCCTCCAGGACTCTCTGCTGCTTGCTTTGCAGGGGTTGGGCCAGATTTTGTTGGGGTGGGAGTTGCCTTCTCGTAAGCCATCTCCATGGTTATGGCCTCTGGTTGGTCCCTTGAAATGTATACATAAATGAGGATGGGGAGGGGGTGGAGGGGACCCTCGCTCCATATCCACATGGGAACGAATCTGAGTGTTCATCCCGCAGTCTGAGACTTCTGGTTTGCATTAGGGCGGCTGTGTGCAATTTTTGAAGGGCCTACGGAGACTCTGCTTCATACCTACTCACATATGTAATGGACATGACGGCCCTGACATTTACCAGAACTCAGAGGTTCTGCTTTATTGCTATAAATTAGGTTGTGCAAATTTAAGACAAAATGCTGTTTTGTTTCCTGTCACCTCACTATATAATTTTTTTCCCCGAGCATGCCCCACTCTTTATTAAAATGTTGCAAAGGAACAGCATACTTTTAAAAATGAAAATCCATCCTGGAACAGGTCATCTTTGAATAAGGTAAACGTGGAAGGTTTCATCTCAGCTGATCTCCTTTCTGTCCTCTGCCTTTGTGTGTGTGTGTGTGTGTGTGTGTGTGTGTGTGTGTGATCTAAGGCTTTTTAAAGCTCATCTCTCACTCCCCTTCAGTAGATTAAATTCTGTAATCTCATTTTTCTTTGAGCTGATCTCAAGCCAATGGTCTGGGGATTTTATAGCCAAGGGATAATTTTTGATAATGGGCTATTAAAACACTTGCAACTCCTATCCTGTCTTTCAAATTAGTGTGAGCACAGATTGTCTTTCTGGGGAAAAAAGTCTTTCCCTGGGCAATAAGCAAATGATTATGTGTCGCAAGCAGCGTAAAAGCCTCCTGTAATGCTTATACGAAACACATAGGTAACGAATCCATGATAAATAGCAATGGGAACTGTGCAGTGCAGGAGTTTTGTTTTATCCTTGGGAGAAAAAGTCTTGTTTTTGCTTATGCAGACAGATTTAGTGTGTTCCAACAACAGGGTCATTTAACAGTTTCCTTAACGATGGAAGTACAGTGGCTTGAGGCAGCTGTGTAAGGTCACGTAACTTTAATTGTTGTTTATAGCATGCTTATTAATAGGTTAAGACGAATATCTTGCTGAACAGAGGTCAGGTAGCACCTGTATAAATAGTGAACCTGCCCTTCCAAAATATGTAATGTAAAATGAATATACACAGCTTGCCACTTTGTGTTTATATTCGGTCCAACTTCCTCTCCTTTCTTTAGTTTTCGGAGGTGTGATTCAAGTAAAAATGACGAGTTCTCCGAAGGCAAACAAATTTGTTCTCCAATAGTCTGTTTTAGTGCGACGGAGATTTTGTTAGCATAGGATGAAAGCCAATAGCCTCAGATTAAAGGGGAGATCTGATTCTGTGTCTTAATTATTTTCACCAGAAAAAAAAAAAATGCAGACAGATAGGCATATGTAATATGCAGCACCGATTGCAAAACCTGTGTGACGGGAATTGTGCTGAGGGTTGGCATGAATGCCTTTCTCCTTCGTGTGTAAAATTAGGCTTCAGACATATCACATGTGTGACATGTGTTGCTGCAATGTGTGCAGATGGTAAGAACACATACGTACGTCTCAATACCATTCTCTTAGCCTGTATGCTTTGTCGCTCAATAGCCTGACAGATGCATATGCACGGACTCCTTCATTGCCCTCTCTGTTGACCGGTAGTATTTTGGGAAACGCTGTTGTAATTTAGCAAACTGAATCTTGGTGGGGGAACAGTACTGCAAGTAATGAAGAAATGGTGCAATTATAGTTCTGAACCTTGTACTCAGAGTTATGACTTCCTTCAAACTGAGGTTTCAGTGTTCTTTAAAGTTAGGAAAGAGAAAAATTAGTTTCCTACTTGATGTAGAATTTGAAAAAAGTTCATCTTTTTTTAAATCAGCAAGTGCTGATGAAAAGTCTCTGAATCATTTTCAGTCTGCACAGAATGATATGGCGTTCTCTGTGAAGTCAGGTTAAAAAGTAAAAGGTCACTCTATGGACAGAGTCTCAAAGAATGTTTTAAATATAGTAGGGCACTTCATAACATGAGTTGTTGTCAGGCAAAAACGTGCATTTGTATGTTGGAACTTAAATAATGTTCCTGCAACAGAAGAGCTAACTGCAACGATTAGTAATATAACATTGTACGCTCCCAAAGAGGACCTAACACTAGCTCTCGTCTAGTGCACAGTTGTGCTGTACCTACGCCTTCAACGTATAAAACTGAAATTCAGGGCAACCACCATCAGTGTCTCTTTAGTGCTTCTAATCATGCAGATGTGCAATTCAATGAACATTTATTTAGTGCAGTGATGGCGAACCTATGACACGCGTGTCAGAGGTGACACGCAAACTCTTTTTTGGTTGATTTTTCTTTGTTAAATGGCATTTAAATATATAAAATAAATATCAAAAATATAAGTCTTTGTGTTACTATGGTTGCAAATATCAAAAAATTTCTATATGTGACACGGCACCAGAGTTAAGTTAGGGTTTTTCAAAATGCGGACGCACAGAGCTCAAAAGGTTCGCCACCACTGATTTAGTGCCTACTCTGTGACTAGCAATGTCCTCAAGGCTAGGGAACTACAAAGGCCAATGAAGTACTGGTCCTTGCTCTCAAGGAGTTTGTCATCTAATCTAGTAATGGAAACAAACTTAGAGCTGCCACCTACATCATATAAAACGGATGGTAGAAGATGCCAAA